GAGAGAGATGGGGTTTAACTCCACTACCTTGTTCCATGTGATAAAAATATAAATGATGTACCAACACAAATAATGAAATGAGAGAGAGAGAGAGAGAGAGAGAGAGAGAGAGAGAGATGGTGTTCGACATCCACTTGAAACAAACTAGGTCATTTCGGGACTAACATATGGTTCAATAATTTGCTTGAACGTAGCGGTCTTTAGCAGTTGAAGGAAACCACCAGATTCAGGTTGGACAGGCAACCCTACTACTTTTCACGTACAACCGGGTAAGCGAAACCATACCAGTTGACTCAATGACAGACCTTATGATTCAATGCGCATGTGCTAACCATTCGCCACCCAACCCCCATTATGGAATAACAATTACTTATGGAATATCAATCACTTATGGTATAACAATTACTTATGGAATATCAATTACTTATGGAATATCAATTACTTATGGTATAACAATTACTTATGGAATATCAATCACTTATGGTATAACAATTACTTATGGAATATCAGTCACTTATGGTATAACAATTACTTATGGAATATCAATTACTTATGGTATAACAATTACTTATGGAATATCAGTCACTTATGGAATATCAATCACTTATGGAATAACAATTACTTATGGAATAACAATTACTTGTGAAATATCAATTACATTTGGAATATCAACCACTTATGGTATAACAATTACTTATGGAATATCAATTACTTATGGTATAACAATTACTTATGGAATATCAACCACTTATGGATTAATAATTACTTATGGAATAACAATTAATTATGGAATAATAATTATTATGGTTATTACACTGCAACGTTTCAACAAGTCATGATCTACTTGGGTGTACATGCTTGATAATGACTTGTGTTCAAACGTTGAAGTATAATAAACTATAGTAATTGTTAATCCATACGCTGGCACGCTAACCTGGAGGTTGTGTGCATTGGCCAAGAAAGTTCATTGGGATTTTCCAACGTGATTTTGCCTTGTCAGTGGGATGAAAAAAAACTGAGGTCCCGTGTATACATTGGCGTACACATAAAAGATCCTTTGACAGTTGGAATTTGATATAAGAGTAGGGCATAGTACAGCTGTCCGGGCAAAATTTCCCTCATAGTACACTGTAAATCATATGCCTGTCTTCGTTAGCCCAGTCGGAGCAGAACAGTAGGACGTTAAACCCCATTTCATTACATTAGCCCAGTAGAAAAGTGTGATGTTGAACCTCCTGGCAATATTATTAGCGTTTAGATTTTCAATAATATGCTTGAGTCTACGTTTATTATCGATATGATATTACGTACAAAATGAAATAGGAATTTATATTGATTAGGTATTTTATTTCAACACGTCTAAGTCTTGCGTCACGTCACGATCATTTCTAAGGTTAAAGAGACGGTTAATTAACAACTACAGAAAAATAGTCGAAATAGAGTCACTAATCGCTGTGTTTTCACACATTAAATAAGGTTTTACAATCTGGTGAGAGAGAGAGAGATGTGGTTTAACATCCAGTCGACACAAACTAGGTCATTTCGAGACTAACATATGGTTCAATTTTATTTCCATAATTCGCTTGCGCGTAGGGGTCTTTAGCAGTGGGAGGAAATCGGAGGACCCGGAGAAAACCCACGAGATTGGACAGGCGACCCTACTCCTTGTCACATACAACCAGGGAATCGAAACCACGCCAGTTGACTCAATGCTAACCATTCGGCCATCCAACCCCTATTTACAATCTGGTCTAGTAGTTACATTTATTATAATTTAATGGTACATTCTTTTCAAGTTTTTTGTGGCCTTAAAGATATCTTATGTAAGATTTAGATAAAGAGCTAGCCATTCTTGCTATAATAGTTTGAAATAGATAATGTAAAATTACCCTATTGCGAGTGAAGATATTAGCCTTTGAAGGTTTGACAAGACGTGCAATAATTTCAACCACCACACTGGTTGTTCGAAGCTTAGTCAGAGAAATCCGATGCCATCGAGAGTTGATTATGGGCTGGATCAGTTAATTTATGTCTAATTCATAATTTAGATAACATTTCAGGCCTAAAGAAAGACCTGCAATAGGCAGATTTAGCACTTGCATAATGTATGTTTAAGCAGAATCCAGGGTTTGACTATTATAGTTTGGAATCTAGTCTAGGAGTTGAATTTAGTTCTTTTTTTTATGTTTTTTTTTTAAACTTATTGACAAAATTATATTTTAGAATCTGGTCTAGATGTTGAATTTATTTTAAATTATGTTCTTTTCCAAGTTTTGTTCTGCTTTAAGCAATCTGGTCTAGTTTAGAATCTGGGCCCTTATTCATGAAAACTTAAACTAAGATACAATTGAAATTTTAAGAAATACTGCAATTCGATTGGCTGACCAGTAAAATCAATTTGCATATATCCAATGAAGTTGCAGTATTTCTTAAAATTTCGGTTGTAACTTGGTTTAAGTTTTCGCGAATAAGGGCCCTGGTCTATCTAGTTGAATTTATTTTAAATTATGTTCTTTTCCACGCCTTATTTTTGCCTTAAGCAATCTAGTCTAGCAGTTGAATTGTTTTTAAATTACTTTTACATTGTAGTCGCTTTAAGCAGAATCCATATTGGAACACAATTACCTTTTAGAATCTGGTCTAAATTACTTTCTGTTTTCAAGCTTATTGCTACTTTAACCACGAATATCTTTTGAATAAGTATCGAATATCAATGGGATTAATCCGAACAAAAGACATACATTCTAATAATAACAATTTTTCATCATATCCCTGTCATTGTGTGTCATGAATTCTAATCAGCTTTCAGTGATGTCTACTGTAATTAGACTAATCTTGTAAGATTAGATAAGGCCATGTTAAAAAAAGAGAGAGAGAGAGAGAGAGAAATGGGGTTTAACATCCACTCGACACAAACTAGGTCATTTCGGGACTAACACATGGTTCAATTTTATTTCAATAATTCGCTTGCACGTAAGGGTCTTTAGCAGTGGGAGAAAACCGGAGAAAACCCACGAGGTTGGACAGGCGACCCTACTCCTTGTCACCGTACAACCGTGGATTCGAAACCACGCCAGTCGACT